CCTGAAATATTCTTTTGCTAATTGATTCAATCAGGGGTTCTCAAACTCTGCTGGGCGTTTCTTGATATTATGTTCAACAAGAACAATTTTGCAAAAATAATTAGGAGCTTCGCTCTTAACATTTGAAAAATTGAAAAATTTTCAATTTCCCTGAAATATTCTTTTGCTAATTGATGCAATCAGGGGTTCTCAAGCTCTGCTGGGCGTTTCTTGATATTATGTTCAACAAGAACAATTTTGCAAAAATAATTAGGTGCTGCGCTCTTAACATTTGAAAAATTGAAAAATTTTCAATTTCCCTGAAATATTCTTTTGCTAATTGATTCAACCAGGGGTTCTCAAACTCTGCTGGGCATTTCTTGTTATTATGTTCAACAAGAACAATTTTGCAAGAATAATTAGGAGCTTCGCTCTTAACATTTGAAAAATTGAAAAATTTTCAATTTCCCTGAAATATTCTTTTGCTAATTGATTCAACCAGGGGTTCTCAAACTCTGCTGGGCGTTTCTTGATATTATGTTCAACAAGAACAATTTTGCAAAAATAATTAGGAGCTTAGCTCTTAACATTTGGAAAATTGAAAAATTTTCAATTTCCCTGAAATATTCTTTTGCTAATTGATGCAATCAGGGGTTCTCAAACTCTGCTGGGCGTTTCTTGATATTATGTTACTTGGAAAATAACAATTTTGCAACAATAATTATAAGCTTCGCTCTTAACATTTGAAAAATTTTCAATTTTCAATTTCCCTGAAATATTCTGTTGAGAAATCCAATAATCTTTCGGAGTCGGTGGAAGAGAATACTGGCAAACACTCGAAGAATTCGGTATACCCGTTACGACGCACATGGGTCACAGGAACGAAGCAAATGCTTCTTCACTCTTCTCTCTCCTCTCCTCTCTCCACGGTTCTGTATAGGCTCACAGTCTGTTGGACGCGTCTCTCGTGCTGTCAGTTGGCGTGGTACGCTCGAACGAGCGACAAGTGCCTGGAGAGGTGAGCTCCGAACGAACCTCCTCGTTCATTCCTCGAAACGGTAAAAGTAAAAACGCGGCAATTTCTCAGCCTGTTTCATTCGGGCTACGAGGTGTACGCACCTTCTTCCAGTTCCGTTCAACTGTACACGCGAGTGACTTAGACATCGTGATTAGTCGCTGCTGCGAGGAGGGAAGATAGCGGATTCAGGAGAGGTACGTCCGCTTCGAAGTACTCGAGTCCGACAAATAGCTTAGAGGAAAAAAGTTGCTTAAAATAACGAATTTTACAAGATATTTAAAAATCATCGAAATCGGAGGAGTAGCTTTTCTACAAGTTCACCGAGTACTCCACAGAGTGGTCCTCTTTCAAATTATTTCGACGGTGTCGCATATTCTCGACTCTGATTTCTAATGATTTTTGCATTCGATCCTTTTTTAGCGAGTCACTGAGAAAACACGTCATTCTTTGTTTAAAGGCAGTCGGGTCGGACACTTTAGTACCTCACCATGTATAAATACATGCGCCTAGTAAGGCACGGGATCATTCGTTAATTTCAAGGGAATAAGAAAATTAGGAAACATTTAAAAAACGCGCCAAAATGATCGGCCACGTGGTCGAATTTCGAGGCACCCTTGGGTGCGCAAACTCGTCCGGTGTTTGCGTGGCAGTGAAGAAAAGAAAAAAAGGAAACAGATCGATGCGCGAAGCGTGTTGAAACGTCCGTGTGTCTCGAAGCAATCGAGCATATGAACGGAGCGAACCGAAGCGCGCATAGTTATAAGCGTTTTGCAATTCGATTCACCGACGCGTGAGTTCTCGCTGCTTCGTGAATATAACGCCTTCTTCGACGAACGTCGAAGTTTTATTTAAAAAAAAAAATATTTACGCCCCTCTGTTGCATCGAACCCGTTAATCCCGGTGTCCCCGTTCGATGCACCGGCTAAGGAAGTTCCCGTTACAACAATTCTTTCCTTGCCCCTTAAATGCATTCTCTTGCACCGTGATTTTACGTCCCTTTTTTAATTCGCTTCTCTTCGAAATTTGATGGAAAAATAATTAGGGTAAATCTGAGTTTGGTGAAATTTTCAAATATTCGCAAATATTCCGCCTTGTCGGTTCGATCATTAGCTCCGAAATGAAATTTCGCTAAACTTTGCTCTAATTCCAAAGTCGAGATGAACAAGTTCCACCCTCTTTCTCCTCCATCGGTCGGTCACGATAAGAATATCGAAACGAACAATGTTTACGAGTACCGAGCAATGAACATGGCAATAAATGGTAGCAATTAAGATCTCGCTAAAGAGGTATCGGTCCTCGGATAAAAACTCTTAGTTTACAAGACGGGAGAACGAGTTTCTGCCAGTTTTACTTATATCGCTGGTAGATACAATGAACAAGTAAGGTTTGCGATACGGTCATTCGGAGGTTCGGTGAAAGCTTACGGGCAATGAAGTTTTATCCTGTAACCTGTCGAAGCTGAACGAAATTGCTCGTTAGGGCGACACCGGCCATCGAGAACGTCACCCTCCATTAACATCGTCCGATTTCTTTATTACCAGTCCCGAGTTTCTCCGGCTGTTCATTAAAATGTGTTTATAATTGTCAGCGAGGGGAAGATGCGAAATGACAATGTTTTATAAATTGTCCTTGCAAGTCGGAGAAAATGCTTTCCTCAAAAAGGGAATTTCACGAGTTTCGAGGGGAGGAGAAGGACTTGCCTTTTCCTCCTCCACAGTCAGATATAATTTTATTTTTCGATTGAAATCGACGTGAAAACGTTAAAAAATTTCGTCGGAGAAGAAACCATTCCGTCCCCTTCGGTGTCGTTAACCACCGTCGACCACAATGCAAAACTTCCCCCCGGGGGAACGGTTAATATTTTCCACTTCCTTCCGGACTTGCGATCCCCCCAGCTAAAGCTCATCGTAACTCGTTTAACCGGCGCGTGTATGGTAGGTAAACAGGAGACGGTAGGGTGTCGAGCAGAGAGAAGCAAAGGTATATCGGCCGCTCCCAGTTTCAAGAACGCTCGTGTCCTTCCTCTTTACGCACTCGACGCGGTTTACGCACGCGTTCACGCCTGCAATTAGCTGTCACCGTGTTCGACATCTTGTCGCTCAACCACGTTTCGCAGTTTGTAACGCGATCGTTTTTGCGCGCCTCCTCTTCTTCATCCGCTCCGCAGTGACTTTGCTGAAGCACGTACGAAATCTCGAAGAAGAAATGAAAGTTTCGTTTTTTCGTACCGGCATCGATTGGACGAATTTCGATAATCGATAGATAAGACAATATATCTCGTCTGTTGGAATGATTCAGTCGTCCAGGGGCGTACTATTTATGGAGAACTTGACCAGAGCAAGTATGAACGAATCGAAGGTAAATTTTCACGTTAATTCCAGTTAAGAAGAGATCCTAGACTAGTTTCATTTACGGAATCTGTCACGTTCGCCTCTTTTGTGCATCTGTGAATAACGTTCTTTGGTCGTTCGGAAAAAAGAATCGCGACAAAAGGTGTCCTACAAAACGTGCTTACGTAACGACGAACACCCCCCAGCTAGTTCTCCTTCTCGTGTGCCCGTTGTTTTTAGCTGGCTGAAAGGACCGTCTCACCGACAATGCGCGGAAAAACTAGGCTAAAAGCGGCTGGAGTTCGTTATTCGCCACTTGCTCCTCGACTTTTCGCCAAACTTTCAGGCCTCTCCCTTTGAAAGGCCTGTGGAACGCGTTGCTGTTAACCCTTTCGTTGTTAAAGACGACTTGGATGACTGAAGACTGAAGTCGTGATTCTCGAGTGCTCTTTTTTTATTCTAAACACACGACTACGATCATTCGTCAATAAATTCTTAAATTTAGGTTTCGATGAAAACACGGTTACGTTAGAATGTTTAATAAACTCGGTGTGCAGCCATTAATCGCGCCTCGTTCATTTTTTACTTTCGCCCACTTTCACTCTCTTCTGCATTGTACCGGTTTAGTGTCGTTATAATTATACGGCGATATATTTCTTTTTTCACGCAACGAACCTCGTTTCCGCCGAACAATAGCTTTCCGCGGGTCGAAAGCGTCGCGCTCGCGCCAATTAAACAGCTGATACTTATGTAAACAAGGTTATATCGCGATAATTATTCTAATTTTTCATACATTGAAAACGGTGAAAATTTAGGCCAAGCGTAATCGGTAATTTAATCAAATCTATTCGATTCTCTTCGTTTAATTAATTATTAAATGGCGTGTTAGCCTCGGGAATGGAAAATAAAGCATAGATATTCACTCTTTTACGCGTTTCACGATTTTTCGTGTAGGATTCGAGCGCTATCGAGCGTTGATATCGAAAACGGAAGTTCCCGCGATAACCAGAACCACTGGACACACAGAGTGGACCGACAAATATCGTGTATTCGCTTCGATCTTTCATCTTTCGTTAACAAAATGAATGAAATACATTCGATTCGACTTGTTGAACGATTAGCAATCGAGTTTCCGTTTTTCTTGCAACTGGTTAACGCGAGTAGTCGGTATCGACGGGGACAACGCTGGTATCGCGGTGAAATCATCGATGACGAGTCACGAGAGAAACTGTATAACGTTTACGGGGATCAGACTTTCGATTCTTCCTTCGGGGCAAAGAAAATCCTTCGTTGAAAATCCCGCGCTGAAAGTTTTGAGAATTTCCTTATGTTAGAAGTACGAATTAATTCTGTGCCTTTTCTTCTTTTTTTTTTGATTGAAGCGACACGTGACCGGTCTTCTCTCGGAAAAATGAGAACAATAGGAAGCATTCGTACAAAGGACGAAAGAAATTTTCATTTTGCCCGATTCGTTTTTATTACGACACCCGGGGAAAATCGTTTGCCAGCAAATTTCCGTCAGGGAAACTCCAATTATCCCCGTTAGTGGAACATGGAATTAGCATGCAACTGGTTTAGCGGTGTTTTCGAGGCGGAACGCGCGCAGAATGCGAATTTTTTCCCATCGATAACTGTAGCTGCTTCTCCGTTAATCAAGTGTACGTGTATTTCAGGTGATCACTAACGGTGTGAAGAACGAAACGGACAGCTGTGACGGCTTAACGAACGGTGAGTCACGCGTCATCGATGCATCTCCTTTCATTTCATTTTTTTTCTTACTTGTAATTTACAATGATTCCCTCGTAAACAGCCCTAACTGGCTATAAAACGCGGCGCGTTAGATCCGTCCGTGATAGAGGCGTCGGTACGCTTTGGTTTCATTGACGAAATCCCATGGTGAAAAGCGCTCTTGCCTGCCACGCTATTGTACTCACCCCCTTGCAGTTACCAATGGGAATATGTACCACGGATCTTTATACAATTACAGTTTATTTCGGTTATAAAAATATGAATTATTTTAATGATAACAGATGATGATGAAGGTGATGCTAGCGACAGGGTGTAATATTCGCTTAATTATTCAATTTGTTATCGTAAATGACAATAATAGTCTCAATTACTTCATTGATGAACCTTTTATTCTTAAATCACACGAGTCACAGTTAGATCTTAGGATACGTGTATTATAGATGTCTTAGGCTGACGATTTTCATGGCAATTTTTAGCGTGAAATCCGACAAATCGTACGGCCCTGACTCTGCCCTTCGGTCATTATCATCTGTCGGAGCGGTCGCCGCATTTTCTCACGCTACTTCAGCTGCTCGTTGCTCGCGGTGCAATGATCTCCCTCTCGTATACCCGCACATCTGCCTCAAAATTACATCCTCACCGGGTCTGCATTTTTATTCTACCCCCACTTACTCCCTCTTCTTATCCCTTCCCCTTTAAACAGCGTCCCTAGCCCAGAGAAATCAGGCAGAAAAATGAACCATCGATCCGTTAACCCCTTTAAGAAAATATCATTTAACTAAAATTATTACTTTCGCCAATGATTTTAATTAGCCATTAGCTTAACGACGGACACGAGAAAGCGTTTTAGGGAAATCTGTCCGTCATTGTATCGATTTCTTTCGATACACGTAATCGGTTGAAATTAAATTGGTAATTAAATTCAAAGACTCCGGGGAATGTTCGAATCGGATCTGTTAATTCTAACTTTAGTTCCACCGCCTATCGTGCAGCCGTGTTTCTTTCTCGATAACAAGCACGAAGAGGAGCGTGGCGTCGATTTTCCTCCGTGAAATTCACTTTTCGCTCGTTAAATCGCATCGGATCCGCTGCTTTCGCGGATCGCGTACCATTAATCGCCGAGTCTTCTACTTACTCGGGAATTGGAATCAGAGTCCACGTTGCGTCACAATTACGGGTAGGTCAAGGCTTTTTTCGCCGCCTTGTTTCTGCTTCGGTAATGAAGATAGAAAATTCAGAAATCGGCAGACGATAAGAAACGAATTTCAGAAGACGGTGGAACAGTACCGGAAGAAAGATGCGTTCCAGCTGCTCGTAAATCAGCCGCACGGTATCCGATAACTTTCCGACCGGTATTCGCTCGAAGTGTGTTTCTAGGATCGCTCGTGTTTCCTAGGATCTGAAAAATTCGAGACCGTTTAGTACAGGGATGATTTTTTACAACAAAATAAGCTTAATTTTTGGAAATAATGGCATTAGTGCCTATCTATGATCATTTCCAAAAATTAAGTTGACACACCTAGAAAATTTTGAATTTTTAAAAATCAAAATGTAAAATCTTTGAAGGGCCGCACGAGAAAGTGTGCTCAACCCTTGTGTTTAGTACAATATATGGAAAGGAATGTTAAATTACTAATAATTGAAGAACGAAGCTTTCTAAGTTTACACGGCGGCCTATTTCTAAAGTTGTAACACTTTCGTGTAGTTAGCGGAGGTCGGTTCGGAAGAGGAATTCGGTTTAATAGAATAAAAGTGCATTGTTTACTTCACCTTGAGGGCGTAAACGTAGGAGGGTACGCGGCGTTCAGTGCCGTGGTACTCTTCTATCCGATTAGCAGCTATGCGAAGCCCCACGCAAAAGTATATATCGAAGCTTGCTGTTTGATACGGTTCGCCCGGAAATGGCTGCCAGTGCTATCCAACGCGATGTCCGATGAGGAGGGCTCGGTGAGGGCGAGAATCGCCTTGTTGGAGGGTGAATAAATACTCGACCGCTAGCTTAGTTTGTCTGACAAGCCTGCCAGCTCTCTAGCTTTTCGCTACTCTTTCTTTTCATTATTCTCGCGATTTTCTTACGTGCAACAGCTACTCGACCGTAGACAGGAAGTCTAGGCGAACCTTTATGAATCACCAGAGTGCTTCTTTTCAAACGTTTAAGAGTGTCTCGTTAAACGATCAAAGAGTGTCTGATGGATAATTGGTGTTTTTTCGCAGGCAAGAAGATGGCACCAGTGCTGGGTGTTCCACCACCTCCCCCACCTGCCCCTCACATGGGACCGGACGGTTTGATCTTGCCCAGAAAACCGTACAACCCTTACCTCACATCGAGCAATCACAAAGATCTTCGCAGAGAGTTGTTGTTCAATCAGAAAGTGTAAGTTTTCCTCATCTCGACAGTCTCGACGAATCTTTCGAAATTTCACGGTAATTGATAATCAAACAATGGAATGTAAATTAAGCGTCCATCAAGAGTGGCAATTAAACGTATCCGAGAATGGTAAACAAACGTTCGTGGATCTTGGAGTCGCACGCCTATCACGAGGAAAATCGTTTCCTTTTAACGTCCTCCTCGCTAATTCCCAGCCACCGCGTTTACACCTGAAAAAAAAATGAACTACCGGTCGGCTATTCAATTGAGACACGATGGTTTTTTCTTCTTCTTCTTCTTCTTCATCCCGGCAATTTTCACGCGTACAGGAACCGTGTGGACGCGTAAATTAACTAATCGCATATCGGTTTTCACTTTCTTTCCAGAGGGAAGAACGTGCTGAATCAGAAGAGCGAGCTGCAACGAGCGCTCGAGAAGCAAAGGGAGGCCGCGTCCAGGCGAGAGGCTGAAAAGAATCGAGAGGAGAATTATAAAGACGATCCGAGAACGGCGTTGCAAAGAGCCATCGAGCAAAGAGCGAAGCACATTGAGATGACAGTGAGTTTCAGCGATCTTTCGACAACCGGGATGAAAAACTGTTCTTTTATCCTGTTCCTCTGATTTCAAACAATAGCATCGTTCAAAGGCGTTCGCGTTTTAACCCTTTTGTCACGAGTGTCTATTATGGCTGTGAAAAGCGTAAGGGATGAAAGAAGATTCAACTCTTGATGAGAAAAAGAATTGCTTATCAACGTCTCGATACCCAGCCTCTGCTCGTTACTATTACTGTTAATCGTTGCAATAATTAAAGAGTTTTGATTTGTTTCAGTTGGAACAGTCGCAACCACCCAGCGAGCCAGCGAGCAATCTGTTGGCGACGGCGAGAGCGAAGCTGAGACCGCGCACAGATTCTCAGTGAATTGTACAAACGAAGGAGATACGAAGAAAAAAAAAGAAAAGACGCAGAGAAGAAGATCGATCGTGAAACGCGTATGAGTAATACCGTCGTGCGGGAGAGCAACGATCGAAGCGTTGCGTCGCGACGCGAAGCTTTATTGCGTTTTCTTACTTCACCCTGTACATATATATACGTAATCTGATAAGAGCTCGTTAGAAAGAGAAGAAGATTATACAATAACTCGTCGCCGTAGATGGAAACGTTGTAGAGAGATCTGTCAAGTAATGGAAATGGAAAAAGAATCTTGTCTGTCGATAGATATCATCTAGGGGCGTATCTTTACCCTTTCGCTTCAAGCCTACGTGGATGAGTCATTCGATGAAACATACCGAATAATTGAAATTAATTTTTCTGTAAATCATCCTGACTTTTGTTTTCAATTGGAACATGGCAGGTGTGGGTTATTTCCAAAAAAGGAACTTCAACCCTTTAATTTTCAACATTTTAATTTTCTTTGATCTACATTTGTTCGTGTTGAGCCTTCGATACATGGTTGTATCTTGTAGAGTCTTAGGTTTAAAAAAATAGCGAAAGGGTTGAAGGTGATACGCCTCGTAACTCGCGCGTCTTTCGTGTCAAAGTAGACGATTGCCTTACTCTTCCAAAGTCGTCGCACGTTTACACGGGACGATTCGTCGACTCGTTTTTATAAATGACATTAGTGTTGTTAGATAGTCTAGTTGTAATGTTGTCGTCCACGATTCGCGTGGAGCCAATATTCGTGCGTGTGCTCGAACATGGCCTTTTCAAATGGTAATTCTAGGAATCCTTGGCTCTAAACATTGTCCGTCTGTGACAAAAGGTTTTATTAAGGCCATAGATATTCTTCGACCAACATCTATCGTGCCTACGCGAGTGTACAATATTTGATACGATATTACGGTACACCGCGTCCTCGTTATACTTCGTTTATTCAACAAAGAATGAACTGTCGAGGCTCGTGACAGACAGGCCTTCGTGAAACGCCTTCGATGAAAACCTAGCTTATCTAATCATCGACTCCTTTCAACATCTTGTTACGTAATAGAACTGTTTCACGGTAGAAACGAATACCGGTATTTAATTAATAATTAACCCAGAAATAGGATGGAAATGAATGAGATTCCGAGAAAAATAAGATATATATAAAACGTATAAGTGTCCTCCATGGTTATCATCGTGCCTGAATTTGTATACAAAGACTAGACCTAAATAATACCAAGTACAGATCATTTTGTCACAATAGATTGAATCGGTAGAATCGGGTACCCTGGGACCATTAAACTCGGTAACGACTAGCGACTGAACAGAGAGACGAGTTCGATAGGTTGATGTAGCAGCATTTATTATATTCCAGTGTTCAATAATTCAGGAGAAAATAAAACATGAGTTGTTATATCGTACTGTTTCAATCGATATACTTGTAGGAACATGATTGTTAATTCCAATTTAAGCGATGTTCTTGTCAATGGTGATGCATTAACCTTCTCGCTGTGGTGTTTAATCTATAGATGTTCTTAAGAGAAACTTTCACAGCGAAAGGGTTAACGAGATACACTAAATTCTATTGCTTCCTTAAGGTAACAAATGTAATCACGATATTCGAAGATTAATCGTAACGTACAATTATATGAAACAGTGAGATAACTGATTAGCAAGTTGAGATACTATTTGTAACTTGGAATTCTGGCACTACTACCCTTAAGTGCATTCGATTCTGACCAGTGGAAACCAACCGTAATATTTTGGACTGTCATTGGTACAATTAAAGTATCAAATATATTTTATTCGACATCGAAAATATTTCTCTCCTCTTTTTCATTTATTTTCACCAACTCAGGATATAATTCAGGATGTTACGATACTTGTGCTGATCAAGGAAAAATAATGAATAAAGTATTGTTAGGTGATGCAATTAAATATCGCGTTATCAATCAGTAACATTTATCGTTAATGTGATTTTACACAAACCAACTTGTACATTCCCAGACAGAGAGTATTGGTGAGAGTATATGTAACATGGATTAAAAATAATAGACATTTTAGTAATCGTCTCCACGGGAAATGACTTCTTTACACGTCGGACGTAGAACAAGGGTGTGCTCGAACTGAGCAGTGTAACATCCCTTCACGTCGACCAAAGGCGGATAAGCCTCGACCGCACCCTTGTCGCACAAGTCCTTCAAAGCCATCTGATACTTTGTACAACCGACGCGATCTAACCATCGTTTACAGAAGGCCAAAGTACCTGAAGCGAGAAAACATATTGATTTATTATTTCTTCTTCGAAACATGCAAATTTCAAAAGCAGAAAGATTTTGTTAAATAAACATTTACCAAAATGCTTGTTGATAACGTTGAGCAGTGATTTACTGCTCTGCAATCTTAACGGGACGAAACCGGCGTCAAAACTTTTCATGTAATGGGAACAGTCCAGATCGTCGTGTACGATTCCCCTTCCGGTGGATCCGAAAGTCTCGATCGCGTAAAACTCATTTTCCTCCATTCTTGTAGCTTCTCCACCCTTAACTATCGGTACAGTTTTTCCAGCATGAATACGGTACGGAGCGATCGAATGACCGTTCAGATTTCTAATGGATTTCACCTGAAAAATAAAAATATGAACTTGGTAGTGTTATCTTCGAATAACGAAATGAGGCATACAAGTATTAAAAATATACCTGATAAGTTTTACCATCCAGTTCAACTTCGTACGATTCCATAACTTCTTGAATCGCAGCGCCAACGTCGCAAAGTTGAACGTCTATACCAGCTGCTTTAATTCCAGTGTTCGTGGCGTCACGAACCGCTTCGATAAGCTTATCATATTTTGGATTAAATGCCAAAGTAAATGCGCAGTCGATAATACGACCGTTTATATGTGTACCAAAATCTATTTTGGTGACATCGTCGTATTCCAAGACGGTCGGATCCCCAGCGTTTGGTGTATAATGAGCAGCGCAATGGTTTCGGGAACAGCCAGTTGGAAAGGCTAATCCAGCTTTAAATCCATCCTCTCCTATCAGTTTTCTAGCTGTGTTTTCCAATTCATTGCAAATCTCTATCATCGTCATCCCTGGTCTTACCCATTTCATAATATGTTTCCTGGTTTGTCTATGAGCTTCGGCTGCTTGTCTTGCCTCGTTATAAATATCATTGTGCATTCTATCAAAAGCACGCGCCTCCTCGCTTGAAAAACGTTCCTTTGCTGTTCTGTCATCTACTCCTGCTGCAGAAGGATGATCCATTATCTGTCCTACTGGAAAGTTTCCATCGGGGAATAATTCTGCCACAGGAATAGTTGGAGGATCCGTTTGTTGTTTAGCACCACCTTTTCCGCGGGGTTTACGTTTTTTCTTCTTCTTTTTCGCATCCTCAGTGTCTGCATCATTTTCTGCTGGTTCTGCACCACCATCTATAAAATGATGTTAATCATATATTACATGCTCATGAATAACCTTATTTTCAATATTCTTTTTTTGAATCAAGTTACCCTCTCCCACAGTATTATCCTCTTTTGCTTTGTCTTCTTCTCCTTCTGGAACATCTGCGCTAGCTTCACCAGCTCCTATAAGAAATTTTATCATGAACAAGAAATCAGTGAAAACAGGTGCAAAGTGATTTCCACACTGCGGCGCTAGTAGACATGTTTGATGATAATTTATTTCATTTATTACGAGTTTCTACCTTTAACGACGCAATTAAGCAATAAGAATCGGAACAGAGAAAGGCAAAATTATGAAAGTACAGATATTATTCTTGACTGAAAATAATAAACATTATCTTTTAGAATGAAAGACTGAAAATACGGAGCACATGATAATCCGAGAACCTGAGCAAACGGTACACCCAATTATAGGTATTGAATAACATACCAGCTTTCTTCTTCTTTTTCTTCTTCTTCTTCTTCTTGGATGCTTCTACTGCACCAGCTTCATCCTCTTCATCAACAATTTCATTCTTTTCTTCGTTTACTAATTTTTCCGCGGATTTGCCGACTTCGTCCAATACGGCAGCCATTTTTAGAGGGAAGCCAAACAATCCTACCTTGTGAAGTCGTGAAACGTCCAATTGATAAAACAGAAATAACCTTTGTCGTATTCGTCGTTGAGTAGTTTGAGCCGTTTTTGTATAGATTACGCTAGGATCGAATTTAAAAAATTTTAATTTATGACGGTCTTTTCAAAATACAAGTTTGCTAAACAGTTATTTCTTGGTCCGGTGGAATAAAATAGACACATCTTATTTAAAGAATTATTTTGTAATTATATGTACAAAGTATTACATAGAAATAGGGATTTTACAAAAGCCCCGTTTCACAATGATCTTTTTGTAACATTATTCTTACGGTACTAAAAATAAAAAGATCTTCGGATAGATTATCGATTTTCATACAAGTAATCATCCGTCTGACGTACGATACGCGTGTAGTTGACATAATGATAACAATTTATCCTACTGAAGAAACGATTAATTCGGCAACGTCTGGGTCTTGACATAATACAGAAAGTTGCATCGTTACTTGACTGTCGGACAACGCTAATCTTGCTCGAGCAAAAACTTCTTTCCCTCCTCTGAAAATGCCGCTTAGTAACAAATTATGCGAGACAGCTCCTGACTGTACTCGGTTAGTTCGATCTACAGGCTCCAATCCTAAGAATCCTGTGAGACTTTGAATCGCGCCTTTCAAACTAGTCACTGATGGTCCTAGGGCAAATGTTTCCTCCAATTTGGTGAATCCTTTTGCGGCTGCTGCTTCCCAGGCGGCACCGAAATCTAGTCCACCATTTCCCATTCCTCGAACTTGATCAGCCAAAGTCACCTCCAAATCTTCCAGCTAAAAAATATATCATACAAAAGTAAATAAGTTGTTCTTGTTTTGTTGCGATGGCGGTAATGATTTAATAAAGAAAGCATCGTTAATTGTATTATGGGGAAGAAATGCACCATATATTCATCGTTATATCCTTGCTCGGCATCTGGAACACCTGTTGCAGGATCGCAATCGCGAGCCATAAACCGTAAGGTTGTTGGAATAGTAGCAACGCTAGCATGAACATCTTCTGGATATTTTAATACTGTATAAGTTGTGCCTGGTTCATTGTACGGTAGACGCGGGCATGGAACTTCGCACACAATTCTATAGCTAAAAGTACAAAGAAAAACACTGCTTTTTGGAAGACACAATACTTTCAACAAAATATATTAGAATGTAATTACCCTTCGGGTGGTTCAACTGCTACTCTCACGTCCTCGAGTAACTGATCGGAAAGGGTGTTCATGCAATCGAATTGCAGCACGAGAAGATCCGTGAATGTATGTTTAACGCATTTAACGTTATACTCTGTTTCTGACTCTGTTAATTCGAAGACGGGCGAGGATTTCAGTAGCGAAGAATCGCGAATGATCATCGACAAGTGTGGTATCTGCGATAATTTCTCCATGAAACTTTCTTCTCGCGTTAAACGAGGTTGTTGTTTCACGGTTGCGTGTACCTCCACTTGTGCCGGTTCTTCTGCCGTTTGAGCTGGTGGTATCTATAAAATTTGAATTTCAATTAGAATTTGAATTATGGAAAGATAGGGTTAATTTAATTACCTGTGAGATGTCAAATGGCTCGTCCATTGGCGTTCGCATATAATTTCGTAGAGCCCTTTCTAAGCTGGGCACAGATAGAAGAGGTGGTTGTACCAGAGGCAAAACAATAAGATCGTTTTGTTGTTGAAGAATCGTGCAATAATAAGCGGCACGATCGCGAACTTCATCGTCGGAATCTAATTGACAACGTGATAAAAGAACCAGCACGTTTGGAAGCAACGGTGGGCATGCCGCAGCAAAACGTGCCAAAGCTGTAACTGCTGCCGCACGTACGCTGGCGCTCTCTAAAATAACACGGTTATAAATGAAACGAATATATCTGGATGGCTGTTTCGAAGTTGGTCCCTCCTGGCCAAGTAAATGTAGAATGCGAACTGCGAGAGAGATATGTTCACAGTCCTCGATAAATTCACAAAGATGAGCCAAGCCAGCTTCTTTGGCTTCGGCATTCCCTTCCATAACGGCGATTATCGTATCTGCGATTGCTGCTTTATACTCGAGTCCTCCCTCGTCTCTTAACATGGCAGAAAGGAAGTTCATTAAAACGGCGTGTTTGCGAGGGAACTTTTGACACAGAGCCCTATAAACAGATAAAGAAGATTATAAAAGATCTTTCGTGTACATATCAAGTGATACCCAAGTATTATGATTTTACCTTATGGCTTGTACAACTACGACCTTAAATTCATCCGAAATTTCGGATACGAAAGTAGCGATTTGTTTCATCAAACGATCGACGGAACTTTCTGCTCCGGTTTTCAAAAGAGTAGTAATTGCTAATGTAGCAATTGATCTATTCGAATCGGTAATTAAGTTTTCTAAATCTAGATTGCAAGCAGTAACCTCTGCTGGATGGGTCATGGCAACTTTGTTCAAGGTTCTAACAGCAGCAAACCTTAAAGCTGGCTTTGGAGACCCACAGAATAACTGAAGGACGCTAATGGCGGAACTGATATCCCTTGAACCGCATCCTCCGAGATTGACCAAAGCGTGTGCAGCTTCGTACACTACCATTTCCGATTTATGGCGTAAACAGCATTCAATGAATTTTAGTAACTCGTATCGTTCATCAACTTCGTCTAATAATTTACATGCGATTCTGATTAACATACACCCTGCATAAGGGCTTTTTGGGCTTGTTCTCATGAGCTTTGCAAACAGTTTAATCACAGCATGTTTGTCTGCTTTACGCGCTTGGTATAAAACACCAAGGGCATGATACTGAACCATGACATTATTGGAATTCAATGCTTCTTGGGCTTCATTTGCCCATCTGCGTGCAACATCTCCAGATACATTGGTTAGATGCAAGGAAGAAACTAAAGCTGCACTGGAAACAGCAGGAGAACGATCAACTATTGCTTGTTTCATATATCGTTCGATAGCTGCCAGCATTCCACCATCAGTGATGGTACACAGTGCTCTTATCGCGGCAGCTCTGTATAAATCTTCTTTCCCAGTCATATCTTTTGTCAGGCTAGATGTAACTATAATTACATCTTCTGCCAAAGAACTTAGTTCTTTGATGCCTAAATACACCAACCGTCTTAAAACAACATCCCTGGATTGAAATAATTTTGTCATAGCAAAGAATGCTTCGGTGGCTTCCATTGTACTCAACTGTTCTCCTTGATTGAGTAGGTACAATATTTTTGTGAGAATGTGCGCACATTTCCTTGGATTAACCGGGGTATCATTGAAAGTACGGGCTTCCTGAAGGACTGTTGTCTTCTCCAGATTTTGGAATGGGTTTCCCCCACCTGGTGACACAAGAACCGTATGAGCAATCGTAAAATACTGTTTATTATCGGCAGATTACTTGTTCTAGCGGTGTGTCTAAATTCATAGTTGCAAAGAACGGATACCAAGCTACGTGAAATAAAAGAATTCATTGAAGAAAAAGTATCTTCCACGACGAGTAATCGAATAAACCTGTTTACAAGGAACTGTCATAAGGATACACTCGATTCCCTTATACGCGCTAGCAAACTCAAACTTATGAGAACGGATCAATGTTTATTTGTGATTACCATCTTCTTCCTCTTTTTTGTCGCGTTTAAAAGCATTCATTTTGTAAAACCACTGCCGGGAAACTGGAAAATAAGGGACACGTCAGCTCAGCTCTTTCGCATGGGAACCATTACAGCAGACTCCGCCGTGTTACAGTGGCAAAAAGCTGAAGCTACACGCGTCCATTGAATACATCATCGAATTTTTAGAGATGGACATTATCTACTATTGATAAAATATCTCTTATCAATTCTCAGATTTTTCGTTAGGTGACGCTGGCAATTCTTTTCTCGAACCGCGCATTTGTATAAAATTAAAAAACAAATAAGTAGAATTATACACGATATTTTTTTACAAATCAAGAAGGTATAAGAATTTGATTCATAATGGTTGAGTTTTAATTCAAGAGTTTTATTAGTACAAGAGTTACATTACAAATTTGACAGAGGGTTTCGAAATGAAATATTTTTATCATCAATTTCTGACACTTTATTACAATTTCTATACTGTAAATGTTTTTCTTCGTTCATGTTTTTCATTGTATGAAAAATGACAGCTTTCACTGGTTTGACACGCTTTCCCTGCAATTACATGTAAAATACTTTGGCATAGTGGCAGTGTTAATCAATTTAGGTTTCTTCAGTGTCTTATCACTTTCACCATACAGATCTATAAATAGCTATAAACATATCTACAGTATATTTAAATATCTGTAGATGGTAACTTTCTTATTTCTAGTTTTAAACACTAGCTATTTGAACCACAAAATATTAAATCATTCAGTTTTATCTTCACTTTGTACTTTGTACAATTTCGTCAAATCTGAGATGGTGCCTTTCTTGCGGTTCGGTTCAGGAGCTCGTCCTATTTTCTGTACGGCCTGCTGGTTTTTCGAAGGTATCGATAAGTTTTCTTCGATATCTTCCAAGGATGCTTGATCCTCGGACGATTTAATCATGTCCTTGCTCCACTTTGCCAGCCACTCGCTGGCTGCGCTCTGAGAAAAAGAAGAGACATCGTTAAGAAACCTTATCATACACAGCGGAGAAGAATAAATTAAAACTGAAAATTAACCTTCTTCTCTTTGTTTTCCACAGTAGTCGCTTCTTTCAAACTCTCTTCCATCTTCTTTATTCTCTCCAATTCTCTCTGCAACTTCCGTTCCATTTGGTACTTCGCGACTGCCTGGGCCAGAGGTCCAAGTTCTCCTTTCATCGCAGCAGTCAACATCGCCTGTTTACAGTAATTGGAATTAAAAAATTCATGCGTCTTTCGTATCGTTTGAAAAGAAGAAGATACTTGCATCTCTGCGTCTCTTCGACTCGGCATTGCCAATCGGATCGGTTTCCGTTTGCGGTCCCAGCTCCACGAGCACCTGAAAATCCGCGTGCTCTCCCAACCGGAAGCCCACGCCGACCCTCGAATCGGTACCTGCCGCAACGAAACCGAGGATAAAAGAAAGATCAAAAGGAACCGCGAAGCCGATTGGCAAACGTCAGTGAAAGTGGTTTCGTGTAACACGCGACAAACCGTTTGTCAATGACCAAACGCGGTATTTCCTGATTTTCTCAAAAGCGTGACGCAATCGTGTTACCTTTCTTAATCGGAGGAATATTGGAGTAGATCAGCGAGAGAATCGTGGGCAGCTCTTCCGGTATAATCAGGCTCGTCGCGTCTGAAACGATTAATTAATTTTTTTAATAAAAATGAGGATAAAGAAGGACAAATTCAATGGCACTGACACGATTTATCAGACCTGCTAACAATGCAAATGGGAGAATTTTTTTTTTTAAATTCTTTTTATGCAACTGCTTGAATTTACATGGAAATTACTTCTCTTGGACTTACGATTGAACTATGATCAAGGATCGTTGCAAAACTAAAACTAGGCGAAGGTTGAAGTTTGTGCGAGTTAAATGGTACTCACGATCGTAGAGAAGCAGCAGGATGCACAGGTTCAATAGGACGACCTTCGTGCTCGACATCTTTCCGTCAAAGGGATCTCGACTACGTATTACTTCTTCTTCCCTCAGCTTTCCAAGTGTTGCATTTTCATCCGGCGAGTTTTCTGCGATTAAAAGTGTCTCGCGGTAACACACGGCGCGAATTACACGTTTCTTCTTTCGACTTTCATTTTCATACCGCAACGCGTAGCGCAAATTAGATAGGTAAACAGATAGTTCTTCTGTGAACTTTCATTTTCATACGGCAACTTGGATAGTTAACTATTTGGTACTTAATATTTTTAATTTTATTATTATAATTTTAATATCAATTTTAAAATATTAATTTATAACTTTAAATTTAAATTAAACACAAAATAATTTTAATTTTCATTTAGTTTGTTAAGCAAAAGGTCGGAATGCCAGTACGAAAAATAACACGGACCTGATGTGACACTTCGATTAATTCCGTTACTCACCGACACCTGTTAATTTTCGATGGAATTTAGAGGAACGGGAGAATCTGTTGTTTAATTTGAGACACAACACGCGCACCGTTTGTTGTACTTACATGAAAGTGAAATCTAAAAGGCTGAGCAGACAGGTAACGCGGCGTCAAGCCGGCCTATTCCAAGCGGACTGAGTCCGCGATAGAATGGAATCGTGTTCCTCGAAAGAGCTGCCGAAAGAAGTTCTCCAAGTGAAAGGAGACGTCGTGTCCGATCGGGGATCGAGGTCACCGAGTCCGAATGACCGCCACTCGATCGTGGATGAACTCTCTCTCCATTTCCTCTTCGACTTCTCCTTCTCCTCATTCTTAATCACAAGCCAGTTTCGGTTTACCTCCGCTTCCGTCTTCTCTTCCTTGGAATTTTTCCTCCGGATGAAGAGATACCTCGCGAAATTCATTCGGCGAAGTAACAAAGTTCATAGAATTTTGTTACTCGAGAAGACCTCGAATAGCAATGATTTTTTAGAGGTAACAATGTGACGCGAACGAAACGATCGTAGGACGATTATGACAGCTGGAAGACCGTCCCGGAAAACGAGGAAAATTACACGTCTGCTCGATCGAGCATCAAAAGTGAAACTACACTGGCAATCACTGGTATTTTCACTGCCAAGTAACGAGCCGATCGTTGCACCTGTGTCATTTCTAAGCTGACTGAGAACAAATTAGTGTAATAGGAACTTCAGTCATCCTTGCACTGTGCTTCCCTATAGGCACCAAGATCCATCCGGAGAGTCGGCGACCCACGGGACTTGGAAACATATTTTTCTCTATCAACCCTCTCCTCGCATTATATTTTCTTAACCAAATGGTTACTCAACTCATTGAAATATCCTCGTGAAATTTACGCAATATGGTTGCACAATCTGTCAGGAGATCGATAGAATTCATTCAAAAATAGTGAAACTGAGCCTAGTATACTTGGTCTCGCAACGCTAATACCAGGGATTCTTTCACCGTGAAAGTCACGGTGGAACAAAAAGGAACTGTTGGCCATTAGCGTGCGTGAGAAAAGATAGCATCTTGGACACCTAATGACGTAACATTTTCATGGTAATTTAATGATCGTGCATGCCTTTTAGAGAGTCAAAATTCCTTTTAATAAGAAACGTCGCTTCTTTGAAAGGTGTCGTTTTTAAGACAAAACGGCACGCTTTATTATGTCACACAATAGGCGAGCGGTGAACTTGGACTTGCTAAACTATTCCAGCCACGTAATGGGTTATTCTATCTGCTGTTAAAATTCAATTTCATTAAACAGCTCGGGAATGTTTCGTTTAGCTGGAAATTGTTAATTTTAACTACGTATACACATACGTTTAACAATTGTAATGTTTATGGACGGTTTCTAAACGGTGTTCCTGATAGCCCATGAACACAGTGCGTGATAGCGCAGGTGTTATCGCTTGTAACCCACAGTTTCCTCGTTCACGTGCACGCTCGAACCTTCGGCTTTGTTACACGATCAAATATTTTGAAAGCAATTTAAAAACTAGCCGAGTGCCCGGTTCGTCGCTAAAAATACATTATAAGAAAAGGTCTGCGTCACCTGTGATAATCATGGATCTTAAAATAAAAAAAAATAAAAAAAAAATTGAAATTAATTCTGGCAATCAGTCAATAAGGTGTTGCCTGTTGAAAGGCGCAGTAAATTGTTGTTGTTTGAGTAGCAGCCTGCAGTTGCATGGGATAATCGACGTTTAGAATGCATTAAGTCGCGTACCGCCAGCTATCGGCGGAACAAGCGGAATGGTCGATGCTGGTAGGGGGGGGGGGCAAACAGATAGCACGTTGCTCGTTGTTCGTTCCTCGTCCTATGCAGTCGTTTGTCGTGAGTTTGTCGTTTACGGGGAGCCGAGGATCGTGCAGCGACTCGTTGCACTCCAATCGCGAAGGACGCGCGCCGATCAATCGTCCTTTCGCACCGATTTCTCATCGCGTTTACCCGCCGATCGCTAATCACGCCTGGTTCCTTGCGAACCTGATCGTCATGGGACGCTCTCTTGGTCGAGTGAGTATCGTTCTTTGACGTTTGAGATCGAGATCGTCGTTGCGAAAGAAATCGGCGCCAAATGAATCGTCAAAGAAAAAGCTTCGGTGTAAAGAAAATCGGAAAAGAAATCGGCGCCGAGTGAATCGTCAAAGAAAAAGCTTCGGTGTAAAGAAAATCGGAAAAGAAATCGTCGGTCAGAAAATCGGCGCCGAGTGAATCGTCGAAGAAAATCGTGATCGCATCGGTGTAAAGAAATGCGATGCGAAGGGAATCGAAGCGTCCGCGCGCGTAAAGGAAGAACAAGTGACACAGAAACGATCGTTTCCGTCTTTTATATCCACGCACCAGTAAAAATATTCTCCGCATCGAACAATGACTCGAGATAAAACGTAAACTCGAAATCGACCATATGCCATTTTTTCCGTCGTATACCGTAAGCTTCCTGTAACAGGTGTTTTGTCCGAACGATGATCGAAAAAACGTCTCGGTATAATTAGCAAAAAGGCAACGTAGAATTGAAGCAGGTTCTATTCGGAACGTTCCTCTTCTGTCTGCGCCTCCCGTTCGCTTTTTGCCGTAAGCGGATAGAAACGGGCGCGAAAAGCACAAGTGTTTCCTTCGCGCATTAACGTGGCTTATTTTTTAACTACCGCGCGACAGATGTTACGGCACACTAGTGGACACGTGTAATTTTCTTCCTCTCCGCGTGTCAACGAAATCTTTTAACGATGCTCGAAATAAGTCGAGGAACATCGTTAACCCGATGGAAATGTTTAATTTTTCGATTCGATAGAAGATAACAGAGCAGGATCATTTTTGGTCGTCGATCATTCTGACAGTAACCTCGATCGTTACGTTTCCAGTGAATGGTGTACGATGACATTTTTGGCCCGTGGGGCCGTGTCGTGCTCATCGTATTGGGAGCGTTCGTCGTGGTCGCCGCCTTACTCGTGATCGCGTGTTTCGTCACACCAGGATGTTTTGGCTACGAGTGCATCAGAAAACGAAGTAAGCCATATTTTTTAACACGTCACTATCTAAACTGCTAGAGTAACGCTTCCTTCGAAGCGATAAGTGACGGACCAGCTGACGCGTTAATTGCGTGCCTTGGTTAGCACCTACGCTCGAGATGATTAACCCTTTCGCCTTCGATGTCGAAAATTTGTAAGATCTTTTTGCTCGGTCAAGATGGGCGTTACCATGACGTTTCTATCGGGAAACTTATGTACAGTTGGTTTCGCAGGATGACATACCTAATTACATAACATCGCGAAGGAAACGAAGAAAACGTCGTGTGTACAAATATAACTCCGCGAACAATAGGCGTAACGTATCCATCCACGTATACGAACGATTCACGATGCAGGAATTTTAAGCTTCCTTCCTTTCGTAGGAATACAGAAACTTCGTCCAACGTTGAAATTACGCTTTCATTAAAAATAAGCGACCCACTTTTGAACGGGCGCAGATTAAAAAGTTAAACGCGACGGATCTGTTAACGAGCGACTCGTTCGCAAGTCGTTGTTTACGAAATTATATAATCAAAGGTACGGATAATTGGTTGCAGAGAGGGAAGGAAAAAGCGTGCCGTCGCGTGTCAAGAGCAAACAGAATGAAAACGTCAAGTTGAACGATGTCAGCTACAGGTCATGGAGACTGGGTAGCCTCTACGAAAATGGCAGCAATGGTAACGTGCAATTATCCTCGCAACCTGTTTGCTCGTTGCGTCGCATAGAAATGTAAAAATTACCCTAGACGATACCCGATCCCCAGCATCGCAAACAGCTGGTAAAAAACTTTCGTTTCACGAAATTTTTTTGAAAAATTTCACAGGTACGAACGAGAGCGTGTCTGTGACAGGAGGGAACTTCTGGAGTACCAGCAGCGCTCGCCTTGGACGCACCGACACCTCGTCCACCCTGGTAACTTCTTTTATTAACCCTGATGCATTCGATCTTCCCGCTATTAATAGAAATTTTAATTAAAAAAACGATTCGTGGTTGTTTTAATAATTTGCAGAATTTGGTACAAAAAGAGAAACAGAAAGGCGAGAAGAAACAAAGAGAATTCCCGACGGAATTGACAATAAGCCTGCAATACCTGCCGCCCTGTGACGAGACTGTTACCGGGAAGCTCGTTATCGGTATCGAGGTACTAAACGATTTCCTTTCAATCTTTCCTCCTTTTGTGTCTACCTCATGAGCAGAATAGAAATCGAGGTATAAATCTCGAAGGAATAAAGTCTCTTTCAACGAACAAAGGCCCCTAGGACTTACACGCAACCCAGACATTTTCAACGATTATTCCATAAAAATTATATAATTCTGTATTACATAAGCCAATAATGGTCTCGCATCTGTTACAATGATGGATTAAATATGTACAGTCATCCATGAAAATCTACCTACACCCCATAAGGTGATTTTAATTAAAAATTCAAATTTCTTGATCCAATTGTTATTTATTTTAAATAAAATACTTTTCTATGGGGTGTACGATGTCTTTCGTGATTGACTATATGTGTTGTCGTTGTTGACGAGTGTGTGTCACGTCACAAGCAGACGCAGTTGGGTAAATAACAATGAAGCTCGTTACTCTTCTATAGAAATATCTGTTTCTTTGGTATTGTACAGGCTCTGTCTGGTCTTCCACCGAAGCAATACAATTGCACCTTGGAACCATACGTGGCCCTGAACATCGTGAAGCAATCGTGGAGCCACCGGAAACGGCAGAAGCTGCACAGTTTCCGGACAAGGGCGATCCGACACACGGCCAACCCAATTTTCAAAGAAACTTTCGTCGTGGCGAACGTGAAATCGCAGGAGATTAAGGTGGATACGTTTCTTTATTATCTATGCACAGCAGGCGTTCTAAAGCGTTTTGTTTAATTCAAGGTTGAAAAACACGTCACTCGTTGGTCGAAGCGCAACCGCGATAAAGCTTCTCGTTTACGCTCGTTATATTAGGAAAATTACTCGAGTAAAAATTAGTAGAATTCAGTACGGTTGGGTTTTGTAGAATAAATTGATCGTACGCAATAACAGTGCGTGGTAAATATGCATTGCAAATTCGCTTTGCATAACCGAGACGGTGCGTTTCGCCACGAGTTGAAAATAAATAAGTACATACTTGGATCGTCGTAAAACTCGAGTGCTCGATCTTTTTATTTCTATTCGAAATTTTTCAAGCCTCGTCGCACTTGATTCGATCGTCCTTTCTCGCAGGAATGGATCCTTGATTTCGCTGCGTACGACCACGACAGATACGCGAACGACACGGAGCTGTGCTCGTTTAAAGTGTCCATGAAGGAGGTGAAGCAAGTTTTGCAGAGTCCGGAGATCCACATATTCAACTTCAGAATGAAGCCGTCCAATTTGGTACCGTGATAAGACAACGATACAAATATCATTTATTTCTATCGAGAACATTGGTAACAAGATCCGTTTGATTTTCCAGGAATTTGGGAATATTTTATTAGGCATAAGTTACTTACCCACAGCCCAGAGACTGACAATAAACGTTATGAAGGCGCGGGACATCAAGTTTGCAACAGCAGTGTCCAGTTTAAGCAAATTTAGTAGGTGTTACGTTTAATTTATCGGAACAATTTCTGTTGCCAACAGCCGCATTATTTTCAGATCCTTATGTGAGGATATTGATGCTAAACGGAAGGACTGGGCAGAGGATGAAAAAGAAGAAAACGAAATTCGTCTGCGCGAATTTGCAGCCGGAATTCAACGAAACCCTGACGTTCGATGTGACTTGCAATCAATTGGATATCGTACAATTTCTTGTGATGTTGTATAACAAAGTACGTAAGTTACGGTGTTTTTGGGAATAAGATTTATTTAAGGAATTATTAAATTTCGCAGACTGTACCTGTTGAGATTGCTGCGAGCAATGTAGATCACCCTAGCGACAGCGAGGATTCTGTAACGACGAGTTACAGGACAAAGGATGTTTGTATTGGTAAGGTTGCATTAGGAAAAGGTGTCAGAGGATCGACGGAGAGGCTACATTGGTTTTCTGTACTTCAAAATCCTAGGAAGCTCGTTACTGTGTGGCATGTGTTGAAATAATGATTTTCAGAATTATTTATTTACAATTTTATCTCTTTCTAGTGGACAAGCTTTCGAGTGTTGAAACAATTTATTTTAAAATGATTAAGATAACGGATACGTGTAAAAAATTCATTTGTCACCCAGATATGAATGTAAAAATATTTAATATTCAAGGTGTTACATGTTTTCTTATAATTTCAGAAATAACATGCTTCGAGTGATAATGCTAGACACCAAATTCTGTATATTATTATATTTATTTCATAATTTAACGATGCAATCGTAACCAAAGATTGTGAACATTGCAAATTTTATAAATATTTATGTGACTTCGTTGATATATCGAATATTATTTAAAGAGTAATGTACAAACCCTAATCTATTAAAAATATATTAAAATCCATCGATGTTCTACGTAACTATTATTCGTAACATATATTTAATTAACGATATAATTACAAAAATCTGTTTTCACGTAAGCGTATGCTGAAACGGGTCGAAGACGCGTTTGAATTTGGCGGGTTCGAGGAGCGCTCGGGAAAGTTCGTGCGCCGCCGCGAGAGGGCATCGCGGTCGCGTCGGTCGTCTCGTAGCAACGTAGCCGAGGTGCCCGGCCAGCGAGCCTCAGTCTGTTTTGTGACTTGTGCGTGTGTTGTATTCGTTCTCGTCGTGTTCAGTTTATTCGGTTGTCCGTTTTTTCTTTCGCGGTGAGTTTAGTTGCATTACCGGAGGGAAGTGTGTAGCAGGGACGAGTGCAAGGACGCGAACATTCATCGAATGGTGAGTAACCGATTAATTCCATCAACATCCTGTACGGTTTCTCGCGAGTCAGCGAGCGTTACGCTGGAAATGTAACCTCCAAAGGCGCTCGAGGTCCTTCCACGTAGAACGTCCGTTTCATGCTTCTATTTTTCTCAAATTCTATTGTGTACGCGTGTCTGCATCGAACGTGACGCGTTATCGCAGATATCTCGTACGATCAGCCGGCTGAGTAAATCGCTTCTGATAAATGTTTGAAAGGATAAGGGGCCGCTTCTCGCGGTAATGTCAACCGTTTTTGAATATCGTCCAATAGCGTCGCTCAGATCCATGCTACGTGATGTTTGAGAACTAACGGCCGTGCTAACGAGGGGCCAGTAGTTATCCGGAAATTTAAATATTTCGCGATCGAAGCGGACGCGACGCCTTCCACATATATAATACAACATTCGTGTGCAAATATTTCGCTATGAATTTTTTCGCTTCCTTCGAAATTCGATATTCGCTGTTGTCCATTCACGTGCTACGCTGTCAGGGACGCAAAAACAAAAGACGTCGACTACCTGCCTACCGGTCGATTTTCAATGGAACCGAGCTTTCGACCTGCTCGTCCGTTGGCCAAGCCGCCATCCTCCGCGTCTTTCAGCCTGAATAAAGCGATTTTAGTGGACCTTGGCCTTAACCTTTGTCTACGTGTAAATCCCTTTGAAAACGTTCCTCGCTAACCACTTCCCGCCATATCGTCGCGTTGCGTGGATTCTCTCCGTCCACTCGTAAGAAAAAGTGTGCGCGTACGTGTGTGTTAATACTTCTGTCTGGTGGGTACTATATCGTGTGTACGCTTTCGCGGTAATCTCGATCGAGCATCTAATGAGATCGCTGTCAGTAACGATCACAGTACCAAACGAAAATTACGACATAATCGGATACCGTTATCGTGTACTGTCTGATCAATTAACACGCGTCGGTATCGAGGCTCGGACTGGTTCGTCGGTTAGTTGTGTATCGGTCAAGCCGCAACGGTTCGTGCATATGGTGTCGCAGATGCGTTTCTGCCATTCGATTACACGGGAGGGGGGTCCACGGATAGTGTACCGCGCTTGAAATATCGCTCGGTAAGTTAGATGAATATATTACAAAAATGCACTTTATCGCGACCCAATATTAATCAAATAAATTTCAAAGAAGTACGCCGGTATTTTTTAAACAGAATCTGTAACTCGAAGTATACTGCATTTAACAGTTTTAATTAAAATCGCAAGTGCAATTTCGTAAATTGAAGCTTTAGATCACGCTTCGAACGGTAAATAATCGAAAGCACTCGATTGATAAAAAAATTGAGAGCCGAAAGGTTGATTCATTTTGAAGCGTGCAAACAAACTCGGTGAATGAATTAGATTTTTCAGTTTCGATAAAAATGTCAAAGGGAAGCTTTCGCGTGTCTGCGAAGCGTTCTGCGTCTGGTACCAGTCGTCCGCGATTCGATTTAACAACAGTATTGTATAGGTAGCCGAGAAACGACTGTCGGTCAGGTAATTCAATCCCGTCGCTCGTTTATTGTTGATAACCAAACGTTTCTACGTTCGCAGAATGTTTTGAGTGACGTTCTTTGATATACTTTGAAATTTCCTATTTTTTCCTTTAAAAGGGGTTGGGGTCTAATTAATTAAAATTAGGTCTCGTTGTGTCGTTAGTTTTTTTACTTAAAAAATTTCTTTGGATTTTTTCATTGATCGATACATAACATTTTTCCACGCGTCTAAAATTCTTTGAAGCGACGAGTTGAAGTATCCAGGCTCAGGGCCGTAGCTCATTGTCATGTAAATGATTTTTGCGCAATCACGAAGACGTTGGGCGCGTGGTGGTAGGTGCACGTGCATGGGAAAATGGTCCCGGAATGTCCACGCGGTTGCAACCCTTTCTCCTCGTATTTGGGTTTTCAGTTTCGCTTTCCTATCTTCGCCTTACCTTATTTTGCTTGGATACTGAGAAACCTACGAAAAGCTTTCTATGGAATTTCATTTATATAATAAATTGCAATTTTTATTCGAAGGTTCTTCAACTGTGAACCGAGATAGGTTCGCAATCGTCCCGAAAGTGATTTAAATAAAAATAGTGCTCTGTAAATAGGCGGTCTCCTAAATACCATCGAACAATGATTGGCGCGATCGTCGTCCGCGGATCAGCACCGTCACCGTTACTATTTCGGTGTAACGCTGGCATGGAAAAAATAATGCTTATTTGGGTTACTTAAAGAAAGCACGAAAAGCGTTGCCATTGTAACGCACGTGACTCATTAGGCGGCTGAACCATTAAACCTTGGAGATAAATTGATTCTCTCTACACCTGTGTAATTTTCACCTTGAGAGGTGTATGTTTCTTTCTGGGATAGTCTGTAACTCTGCTTTTTGGAACTCGTGCCGGGGGACCGCTAGCGAGAACGGAGACCAATCCCGCCGCCACCTAGCGGTCGGCGACCCGAACTAAGAACGTCCGGGTAGACTCACCCCCTTCCATTTCCACTAAACGCCCACATAGGGGTCAATTAGTTGAATTAACGTTGCCTGTAGACGAATAGAAAAATAATTTGGCTCGTTACAGGTAGTCCACGTTTAAAATTGAAAAAAAGGGAATCAAGTAAAAATATTTTCCTTTCGCCGTTGTTGATATTCCGATAAGATAATTAAAACACCCGCAGCTGCGAACGAGTTCACCTCGGTGAACCTGGGACAGTGTATTTAATCCGAGAAACGATTCTAGTAATTTCGAGATGGGGGTTTTATACGGCCTGAAGCGGTTCCAAACGTTTCGGAATCTAATATTTCGTCGATAGACAGAGGCGGAGGTCTCGAAGTAGAAATTGGAGAACGGTGATGCATAACTGGGTCGGCGTCGGGCCGGGCAGGTTGGTTAGAATGCAGTTTTCAATGTAGGCAGTTATTCTGCATTCTGTACATCTATAAATATAACCCGGTTTATGGGTATTACCGCGTAACAGCAATTTCATCGAACCAAACATTCGCCTTCTCTTTTTTTTTTTTTTTTTCAATCGTATGCCCCATTGAACCGTTTTATGTCTTGCGGTTAACTTAAGCCTGTTAACCCGACCGTTTCTTCGATCGAAGGAGATCCTTTATCCTGTTTCATACGTAAGAATTTGCGGAATCTTGCACAAGACTCTCGGAAGCAATTTATTCGAATTTGTTTCGAAGTTTACGGTCCATTGAAATAAACTAAATTAGTACAGGGTGTATTAAAATTGTAGTCGTATTATAAATCACGCGCGGCAAAAGGGGTTGAAACGATCCACAGAATCGCGTCAGGTGAAAACTATTCGAAGAATAGTCTGTCGTTGCCGAAGCGATCGAGACCGAGTCGCAGATGTCACAACGTGGCGAATTCTAGGACAAAGAAGATCGAATTCTAGGGCAGAAGAAACGGTCTGCTTTCTTCCCGCGCGAGTCTCTCGAACCGATCGAAAGGCGAACTCGTAGGCGGTCGATCGGTATTTTTCTGCAATTAGAAACCCCGTTCGTCCTTATAAGATCGCATAGGTGAATCGCGATGCGCAGCTGCGCGAACGTCAACGACGGTGTCAATGGAAAAACTGAGGAAAAACCTCGATCGACTAGTTCCATATATCGAGATCCAGCTACTCCGTAGTCGATTCGCCTTCCTCAGCTGTTTACTCGATTTATTCCCGTACAAGGCAATGTTAACTCCCTGCTTAACTTTTTCCTCTTTTTTACCTTAATTCTCTCCCTTAGTCTAACGAATTATAGAGTTCGTATGCTTTCGAGAAACGTACACGCCTTTGTTAGTTTGAAATCGTGCGATAGTTCTAACGGCGTGGGATCTCAAGATCTAATAAAATTAACGACGGGATCTTGGAAGCAAGGATGTTTGCGAATTAACCGCGGCATAAGCGATAAGCTGATCGGCTGAAACGCGGAAGACGGAGGCTCGATTTCCGGTACGTTCCATCTCCATGAGAAGATTATAACGAACCTTGAAACTTAGCATTTTCCTTCAATCGAACAGCGGAGCTCGAGTCTCCCGACAAAAGTCTTTCCATCCGAATTTTGTGGAATCAGAACGGCGCTCGCGAGAGGAAATGGAAGGCTCCTAACACGGGTACCATCTTCGCGAAACGGTGTTTCACCGGCTGAGAAACAATGAGACGTCGGAGCGGAAGAAACGGGAAAGCCGGAGAATTCTTTTATTGCGCGATGACTCGTCGATGCGTGAAGCGACATGCAAAAATTTCTGTAGCTCGCCGGCTAACTCGCTCCGCTGACTTCTTAGTTCATCGTTCGAACAAGAGAATTTGCTCTTTCCTAAGAACTCCACTTTGCATACGGAAAATCTTGCTCGCGCTTCGCACCGTTTAGGTGATACTCAAAGGTTTTCGTTTCCGAACTATTATAGTACGATTTAATTAAGTACATCGAGCCTTTCCCTCGGGTTTTCTTTTTGCTGACCATCGTCCGAGTTCGCTCGTCCTGAGAACTCGGAAGCTGGTTATTTACACGCGAATCGGCTTAATTGCTCCACAAATGGAGCGTCTTTGTTTAAAACTAGATTCTTTTTTAACACACGATTTAGATACGCTATTTAGTTACAATTAAACCCTTTTCTATCGCTTTTCACTGAAAGAATTTTCCTTTATTTCTGCTCGTACATTCCTTTCTCTCGTTTTTACCCCGTCGGTGATTCATCTTCGTTTAAATCACAAGAGGAACTGTAAATTCTCGTTTCGAACTTGGTTTTCGACTTCCACCCCAAAGTTCCTCGGGTCACCGAAGGCCTAGATTCTCCATTATTTCATTTCTTTCCAAGACGAGTCTTCCGAGGAGGACGAAGAAAAACGAGAAGCGACGTTTCGGGCAGCTCGTAAAATGCTCCCGCGTTTTTCGCGGGACGTTTACTACCCCGGGGTTGGCATTATTTTTAATCCGAACGCTGGCAGAAAGTGGCTGGCATAAAGTGTCGCGCGGAAAAACAGAGGGAGGAGGTTTTGATACTTCGCGAAAGTTGATACATCCAGAGGGATACGCTCGCTGTTCTCCGGGGTGAACAACCGTGAACAACTGTGCCGATCGTAAAGCGTTCACCGCAGTGGATAGTAAAGATGCAGTAAGTCGACGCGTGCCATTAACTGGCGGAGATGTAAACGAAAGGAAAATAGAACGAAAAGAGGATAACGGACGAGGAGGAAAGAATGTACCTTTGCGTCATAGGGGATTGATCTTTTATTAATGAAAAATATAGGATTTTTCTTTGATGGTCAAGTTTCGACATTAGACAGGGCGTTAACGGGGCATAGGTGTTCAGAGAGACGCGTACAAACAGACGGGGCGTATTTTTAGCGTGACTCCGTGTCAGATTTCCCGTACACTCGATACACTGTAAACTCGATGGGGATGGATGGGAATGGATGGGAATGGTGGTTGCCATGCCTACGTCACCCTTCAACCCTGTCTCGTCTGTCTGTCCGTTTGTTGGTTCGATACCTGGCTGCCTTTTCCTCTCGGCTCGTACCGCGCAGATGCTTCCATCTTATTATCATTTATGGTTTCCCCTTTTCGCTGAGCCCGCGAAACCGTCAACCTTGTTCCTCATCGCGCTCCGGATCATTCGGTCTTCGAGACGACAACCCTTCTTGTAACTCTTCGAACACCGATTTTCACACCTTACCAGGATCGCTCTTGTTTTTAACAACAGCCCTTCGCAAACTTGAATAAATATACATCTTGTATCATATTTCTGAATATACACGAAGGGTTCTCCAAATGATTTCTGTTAAATTTTGTATCAGAGGGTTAATCCCGTTTAGTAACGAATAAATAAATAAACATCGGACCCGTTTCATTTAAAAAAAGATGAATCTCTCGATTGGATAAACGAGGGAAGCCTGTCGTCGCGCGATGCAAGGCAAGCAAGTCAGACACGTGAAAACACACATGAAAGAGCATCGATGGGCGCCGGAGGGGTTGGGTGACGCGTTCGAAAGGCAGAACACGATTTAAGCGTGCTACGTTTTTATCGTCACGCGGAGAACGTGCGGCTCGAGGTTCCAAGGAACTGCGATACACGTTCTACCTGCCTCGACGAGAAACAGGAATACTTGAGGCGTTGAAACATCGAATACCTTGGACGGAAATCCCGTGGAACAGTTTCGATCCGTCCTCTCGCGCGTGAAACAGGATTTTTACCAATTGACCGCATTTTCTGGATAAAATTTCCTCCCAAATAACATGGAGTATTATAATTTTGAAAGGAACCTGAGCGTTCATTTTCTTCGTAGAAATAGAAAATGAGAAAGGGGGTTAAATTGAAACAAGGCAGCAGTCATGGTTAGTTTCTAGCTCTCTAAACTCTGTCGATTCCGTGTGTATACCAAAAGCCACTGCTGTAATCTTCGTTTCTTTCCCCGAATGTTTGTAGATTCGTTTGGTAAGAGAGTGGTGGTGGTTGGTTTGCGAGGAGATGGACTGAAAATAACCCTGGTCGTTCGGCAAAGGAAAAATTCCCGCGTGATTCGAGTGCGTTTCCCTCGGTTCGATACTCTCCGGTATAATCGACTGCGAGTAATTACGGCCGAGCTTTAAACGAGTACTTCCACTTCGCTCTTTGCCCGAAAATCTGGATCGATCGACGAGTGCAATTGAATTTAACGATCATCCATTTTAGAATTTAGAGGAAGGCTCGCGAATCCTTTGTATTCTTAATTATTTATCGCGCGTATTACTTTAGAAAATTTACGGGGGTTTCGAACGGAGCTTCGAAAATGTAAAAACGATGGCAATCGAGATGGAAATTTATAGATGGCTCTCGTCTATTTAAACGACCTTTCCTCGAAGATAGATCGGCGACGCTGGGTATTTTCGAGGGAAGCTTGGTCGGCTGAAAAAGTATGACGTTAATTAAAGTCTCGACATAAATCACGGTAAACGCCGAAATGCTTTCCTCCGACGCAACGACACCCAGGCATTTTCGGTTTCCACTCTGATCCTCTCGAAACTGACAAGTACATATTCTTCAACGGTATTTCGTGCTTCGACCTATCCCTCGCGTTATTTCCTCTATTCATTTCTAAAACCCGAATAGTTTGCACCGTTCGAGTTGAAGATGAAAAATTAAACGGTCGGGTTAATGGTGGTAGTTGCAGTTCTTCTGGTACCTCGTAACACAGCGACAGTTCAATTTTCTTCAACTGTGCAAACACGACGGGAGGAAAAAAAGAAAAACTATTAAGCGGACGGTGTTATTTAACGGTGCAGCTATTTCCAGGTGCGTGCGTCGTCGGCGTCGAGTGCTACTCACCGGCGAGCTACGACTCCACTCGGCCAGCCTTTTATACCACTTAATCTCCTTTCACCTAGTCCGTCGAAACGAGTCATTTTTAGTGACACTCCTTTTACTACCCTTTTCGACCTCCGTTTACCCGCGGGACCTGGTAATTTTCGATATTAATTCAACAGGGATTTGGAGCGAAACCGGTTTACCAATTTCTGGACCAAAATTATTTACATTCAAAAGATCGACTATACTGGTGGAATTAATTAAAAGTATGACTGTTTTTTTTATATAACTGACGCCCTAAAATTTGAATAAATGCGAAATTTAAGTAAAAATTGTAAACTGTCCAGAATTAATTCCACTAGTTTAATTGCGAATATCGATGAAAAAATGAATATGGAGGAATTTTTTCTGTTGCCAATTGTTAGTTAAAGGATGAAAGTATACCTCAAGGCTGCGCGAATACGAACGGAAACACAGGTAGATATTACAATATGGCTGGTCATTATTTGAAATCGAGGAAATACCTTGCGATTAGAAACGACCTCAAATGATAATCCGCCTCTTATCTCGAGCAACGCGGTACGAATGTTTACGTTGATAACGCGATTTACTCGTTTCGGCACGCATCTTCCGCGTTATTCTTTTTGAACAGTGATTGATCAGCTTCTATCGAATTGTGACAATAAATTTCTAATAATTTTTCGAGCTTCCCATCGATATCACGGTATTATTTCGGCAGAGAGGGGCAGAAGGAAAATATTCTAGTGGTATATGTGCTATAGTTTCCGCTATCGCTATCTACGGATTAGAAAAACTCGACAATTTTCTAATCCGATTAGGAATAGATAAAAATAAATAAATTTACTTTCATTCAACATAATTATCTCAATATTTAATTAATTAATTAATAATTAGTCGGTCAATGATTAGAATAATAACAACATTAATGATTAAATGCAAAATATTATCAAAAAGGCATTAATTGTCTTTGTGTCCCAATTTGCCGAAATAATACCATGAGCACCTAACTTACAATTATCTATGGTTGAATGAATTTGTATATAAATCACTATTTATATACAATATCGATAGGAATGTCACGATTTCTTGCCTTGCTATCTTACTATCTATTGCTTTCAATTATCAGCTTCTATCAAATTGTGACAATAATCAGATACCATAAATTTCTAATAATTTTTCGAACTTCCGACCGATATCGCTGTTTCTAACACAACATACGGTGCATCCAGCACCGTTCCGAGAACAGCTCGAAAAAGAAGAGGCAAAAGTGGCACAACGAAACCATTCACTGGACGGAAGGTCGGTCAAACGCGCGTATATTTCATGGTAACGTTGGATCGATCCCCTCAGGGGTTTCTGTCGATCACTGGGATAACACTTGAACGCCTCGTTAGAGAGCATCGCAACGTCATCTCCGTTATCTGAGATTCGCAAATTCAACAAAACTTGTGTCAACGTTTAAACCTGCAATTGTTTCACCGCTGACACATTTCCTCTTATCTGTCGTTTGAGCAATCAGTTCCGCGAGTTTCGTTTAATGACTAATCTACAGGTAGATTCGCGTTCGCTCGAAAGGTTCTTCCCATGATCGTAGATCGTTCCTTCTTCCGTCAGAGCTTCCGACGGGATTGTTGGCCATATTTTCGAGGGAATCCGCGTCCAACTTGGTATTTCTAACAAGGTGAACAGGAAATCCGAGCTCGCTGCACGGTTTCGCGTATGTCGCGTCGTTCCTTGGTACACTTGCTTCGTTAGGAACACTGTTCGTAATAAACTTTAGAATTCTGGCGAATTAATTAGGACGCATAGAAATCGCGTTGAATGCTGTATATCAACCGTAACGATATCGCAAAATCCATGACGAAAATTATTAATTGAACAACGCTCGCAATCTTTTCGTACAACGATGAAAAAATATATTTTATACCTATCCTAGAATCAACTGCGAATGTATTTACTATGGAAACCGCATTTCCATATCTCTATATCGTTGTTGCGTGTCGAATATTCTGAAATATGATGTTATTTTGTTGCAGGTTGCGCAGGACGCGATATTCGACCGGAAAGCCTGCGGTAAGTGCTCGAGAATTTATTTATTCCGCTTCATTTCCGTATCTTTCCATCAGCCTCGATTTACATACGACCTACGATATTTTTATAAGAAATATTTCGTAAGACGGCGATACGAAAATTTCTTGGTCACCCTTGCCGTTTTAAAGAATATCATTGTAACTTCATTAAGAAATAAATAGACGGCGAAGTAGAGGAACGTATACGTTCCCTGGTTAGAGTTTAATTAAAAGAATTATCGAGATTGAAACAATATTGGTCGCGGGAGTGGCTGGCAACGTGCCGTTGCGCGGAGGGGACGGTTAAGGGATGTTGCCAGGGTACGGAGCGAAGGGTACAGCAGGGAAAGGAAGGATAGAAGGAAGGAAGGGTCGGGAAAACGGGTCGATAATCCGTCGGTTTATATTCCCCTGCAGTTTCTGGCCACGTCCGGTCGTAGAAAATTTATTTGTCTAGCTTTTACCGTCGGACAGGATCGGCCGGATAATTCGTTCTGTCTTTTAATAATGTATCAGCATCCTCCTCGGTTGCTTTTCCGTCACTCCGAGCTACTCCTTTTTTCAAATTAATCATTCAACCTCTATGTTTCACTCTGGACAATTTAATTTTTCTCAAAATATTTGATCAAATTTTTACTCTAGACATCGGAATATTTATTATCTCTGATCTCTGATGTTTTTTGTCAAATCTAAAAATTTCTTAATCATCGAAAATTCGTTGGAAGGCAGCCTGTAATTTAGTTATCGTCATGGACGTGGCAAATTGGAGCGGCATCGCGTTTAACTCGTTATCAGAGGACGGTAAACCGTAGCAGGTAGGGTGCAACGAGGTAACGTCAACATTAGAAGCCGACTCGGTTCAGCTTCTCTTGGCTTTATCATAATCTTTGCACGGCAAACACTTCTCGCCGAGATACGAGGATCCCGTCTTGGCCCGATGAAAAGGAGGTTGAGTTTGGTCGGCAAGCAGAGCTTTTATTCCTCTTCTCTCTCGGTCGTTTTTCAAAGTTCCCGTCGCACGATTCACCTGCGAGTTCCCTTACCAGTGACGTATACCCTGAATTTGCGTCCAATGTTTGGCTTTTCCTCCGGCGAAAGTTTGCACGCGTAAATGAACTTTCCTCGGGGAATTTTCAAAGGAAAAGGGGATAAATTTTATGATTACCTGATTGCGTTTCGAGGCTGTAGCTCTTTAATTAAATTATCGCTCATCGACGCGATAACGTCTCGTTGGTATCGATAAAACCGGACGATCGACGACGCTTTCGATGAATCGATCGTTGACTCATCGACGCGCAACACGCGGAAATTTTCCAAGTTTAGTCGATCCTTTTCCTTAACGAGACAGTCTGCATCCCGTTACACCGGTTGCCTTTCAGTTTCTTTAGAACAAAAACCGTGTGCATTCGTTAAAGTATAATTTCATAGCTGTGACGAAACACAAAAGTTTGAAAAACGCAGGATCTTTGGAGAAGAATCGAAAGGAAGGTGGCGAGAACGTGGCAAAAGCCGTCCATCATTTTCCTATTAATCAGAGCGTTAACCGATTGTACGCGCCAAGGAAAAGGAAGTATGCTAATGACGGTAACGTCGTTGAAAAGTATATTTTCACTGTGAACTATGTTAAATTGTGGTAATATATGTATAACCGATAGAGACCAGAGAAATTGTTTCTTTCAAACATGCGCGCTTCGCACATTACTGTAATTACCTCGGCGCTGAGCATCTTCCACATTAGAAACTATAATTTTCTATGATGAGAAATCTTACCGTTATCAAAATTTCTTTTTTTTTTTATATATATATATAAAAGAAATAAAACATAGGATAACTCGAGAAAGTACATCAATCATCGAGAAACTGAAGGAAAGGTCATCCTTAGATCGGTTTGAAAAATCCAAATTCCTTTAGAGGCTGCTAATGAAAGTCTAGACTGAAAGTCGTGATGTCAAGTTCAAAGGGGTTAAGAAGCACGTGGAATGCGAGAAATCGTCCGGTTACGAGGAGCAATTGTTTTCTCCCCCAAGCAGCTGAGTTTCTAGTAATTAACGCTTCTCTGGCAAGATTGGTCAATTACGGGCCATTAATCTCGCTTACTCTGGATAAGATACTCGATCTTGGATCGTGAATGAAAAAAAAAAATTCAACAGCCAGGTTAAAGATAGCTTTGCGAAGCCTACGGTCAGTTTGTGCACCGGTAGCAAAGGTGTTGAAAGTGTCGAGAGACGGATATGTCACCTGCACGACCCCGTGAAAGCCATCCGATCGGTTCTCGCGGCCAGGATCGATTCATCGTGTTGGTCGATGCTTGTTCGCTGGCTGGGTTATTTTAACCGCGGATAGTCGGGACGAGAAGAAGAGGTTGTGCACGCAGGTCACGTTCTTCGGTTCGTCTGCCGGTCGTTCGAAGAGGAGGAAGAGAGAGATAAACGGATGGCAGGATTCAGTGGAAGCGGGTTAGCAGCCGGTCGACTGACTGCTATCCTACGGGGACCTTGGCAGTGACAAACTGTGCGACCATCCTCCGCATTTACCTGTCCTTTTTCCAAAGGTTCTCGAGGCACCGAGAAGCTCTACTCTCTTGGAATTCTTTGTTCCGCGTTCACTCGCGTTCACGCGCTCCTCCTTTCTCGGGGGTCAACGAACCAACACCCGCCAGAAACCGGGCTACCTTTGCTTTCGGATGCTCCTATCGATCATCCTTCTCCCGATTGCGTAGGAAAACAGAAATTTGCAAACTCTCTAACAGAATTTGTTCCTTTGATTAATTCGGGATCCGAAGGATAACGAATTAGGAAGCACGAGTGGTGAAACTTAGCGAGAAATAGAAACGATTCTTCTATTTAAATTAACCTCCTCGCTGTAGACTGTGTGTGTAATGAAAGGGTTAAAGAAGATCGCGGAGCATTATCTTAATTAATTATACAGCAACGATTAATGAGGTACAAATGTATTCATCTGGCGGTGTAATTTATTTCGCATTGTCCCGTAATTGGCGGGCTGAATGAAAGAGAAAGCTTTCCGTGAATCGAGGCCCAGCGAAAATGGAATGCAAATTATTCTCGGATCCTTCGCCTTATTTGTCACGTTGCCTGATAGATTTAGCGACGCGCTCGGATATTTATACGCGTCGCGGATCGAAGCTTTATCTCCAATTGAAGCTTCCTTTCTTTCAGCTACAATGTATCGTTGCTTCTCTCCGTTCTAAGATCCCGCGAGGAAAGTCGGAGCAATCGTGGGTGTGTAATGGGTCTGCTCGTAAATTAACGGGACGGTTTCGTGGCTCGTAAAACGACGAGTTCAAGGATAGACGAGAAATGACACTCGGAAATCGAGTTACTATCGTCCCGTAAAACCCGCGAAAATGGCGTGACTGATCGTTTCGTAATGTCCCGGTTAAACGTCCATTCTCTTTCTCCGGATAAATATCTCTTCGATAAAAACTACACTGGAAGAAGGTACAAAGTAGTACAAACCGTTAGGATGTGACGTGGGTGCGTAAGGATCGAGACACTTGATAAAAAATGATAACATTTATTATTAAGACGATGATGGTGCGAAGCGTGGGCGACTGTCCGGTACCTTCTGTCGTTTTTCCGTCAAAGTCGAACGGTCGGTTCAGGGAAAATGCGGAAGGGAGATAAATAACCCTCACCGAACCGAGGTTCTGGCAATCGTCACTTTTATTGCCAGCCCTCTTCGAAAATAATAACAAAGCCCCGGAAAACCTTTTCCCAAGACGACGCGACAATCCGCCATAAATTTATCCCGAAGAAACACGATTCCTCTCGGTCCACCAGGAATTTTTATGATATCGATAGGAAACTGTTCGAACAGGTAGCTGCCGGATGAAATGGTACCTAGATAAGGCGTTGTACCTTATCTTCGATATACCGCTGGAAAGATAGATGGCACCGTTTATCTTCTGTTTGGTAGCCGCGATAAGGCTACGTCGAACTGGCGATAAAACGAGAATGGTGATCGAGATTGTTATGTAAAACGTCAATCTTATTCGGCCATGTTTGCGTTTCTCGATTCGACGGTCAGCTAACGCATGCGGGGCTAATTGGAATCGCGTGTATACTCGTAGCTGAGTGGATCTAACATTCGCCGATTCGTCGTACCTTTCCTCGCAGTAGGTCGCCGCGATTCTCACGCTCCCTTTATACATTTAACTGTACGTGTTGCTGACAGCCCGACGCGATGGATTGTTGGCGAAATCCGCGATTGCCACCGTGCGCTTTGTTCCCCACCGGTGATTAATGTTTGCCTGTTTCTGACACGTCTTTGACAGAGATATCGCGCGCTGCGACTGATAGGACGATCGAAAATTCAATTATATAGAAAAGTAGATTCTTCGGAGTTGCGTTTAATGGAAATTTGTAACGGGGTTAAAAGTTGGTTCGATTAACGATCGCGTTACGTTGCCGCGTTTAGGCAAAGTCTAATCGCATGGCGAACCGATAAGAAGCCTTCGCGTGATGGCGAATTGGGTTAGCTGCTTCCGGTTCCGGAGAACGGTGAAAGCCTTCCACCGGTGATCTCCCATCGGGTCTAGGTTTGTTGTGTAGAGGATTCACACGGTGGCCGGAAGAACGACTTCTTTTTACCGGGTACATTTCGTTGTTTCCACTTCACCGGCGTAGTCCGCGTTCCACGATGCGCCGAACAATAGTTGTATAAACAATTGATTTTCAAAGAATTGCTTCTCCTACTTTTTTACACCGCTTTTCACCTTTTCCTGAGAAATAAATCAGATGTTACTATTGAGTATCTTTAATTATCGAACGAAGATTGAATTCAATCGATTTGCAGAGGAAAGTAGTTTATTTATGAAAGTGATATACAAAAGTACAGAGGCGAAAAACTTGGTGAAATGGCCCGGACTGGAGCCTACGTGAAGCAAGAGAAAATGGTAGAGTGGAAAAATTTAGAATTTAAAATATATTCTATTCTCAATAGTTATGTTCCGTAGCAAAATGTAGATTTGCATTTTATTGTAAT